AGGAACCGTGAGTTGCTCGCTCAGTTGAGCAGAACAGACTGGGATGCGGTAAGACCAAAGACCTAAAACAGTTGGTGTCTTAGTTGTAGGAGCTAACCAGTGGACGTACGTGCTTGTTCCGAGTGAATGCTGACGTCATAGGGAATCCTTAGCCACTCTGCCACGACATCATCAAGTCCACAGGAAAGCTTCTCCGACCCTGTAAGCCGGATTGACCTGATTGTTGGGTCAAGAAACTGGACTACCGTTTCTCTCGACCCAAACGTGGAACATCGCAGTCGGGCTATGCAGCCCACACTGTTCATGTCTGCCATTATAAGACACGTCAATAAAAATTACCAAATGGGTTACTCAACCTGGCACCGGAGTGAATTCCAAGTCACACGCGTGCTTGTTCGCAAACACCAGCTACGTGGGTCCAGTGAAGAATGTCTGGCTGTGAAGCCTGCACAGTGGCCCTCAACTTCATAGGTTGAGTGTGTCGCTCGCATCAGCTGATCTGTACCTTCTAAGATAACTTGGATCGGTTTCAAGGATGTGTCTATCTGAGTGCGGTGCAGCACCTTGTTTCGGCCGCCGCGGCCTCGGCGGACGCAGGCAACATGTACCAGCCTAGGATCGCCACCGGCTTCAATCTGGATCCGTAGTCCGTCTTTGACGAGGCACAGAGACAAGGGAACCGCGTCCACGATCGTTCTAGAGGTGAAGAAGCCTTTACGAACAGTAACGACCAGAATTGGGTTCGGGAAGTCCTTCACCAAAGGGTAATCCGGATACAGGCTGACCTTCGGGCACGCCTGCCGGCTCCCCTCGCAGTTGTCTTGGCAGCGGTCCTCCTCAGGGTTCTCCTCCTCAGGGTTCTCCTCCTCGAAGTGGAATGTGTGCACGATTGGTACATAGTAGTTGTGCGTTGGATGGTGCAGGATAAAGTGGCTCGGCTTCTCCCCGTCTTCCAACCAGGTCTCATGAATGCTGAAAGACTCACCGCCCTGACCACCCACGAGAACTTCTTCGCACTTTCGCTGATCGAAAATCGCAACGACGTGGTGTGACGAGCACTCCAACTGTACCCATTTCTGCGTAGAGCGGTCCCCAGTCTCGTCGCTATAAAGACCACCTGAACCCACTGGTCTGTTAGTTCCTCTACCCGTCTCCAGATCCGCACCCCCCGGAACTAACCCGTCTTTACCGTAGGACGCAACAAAAGGTAATAAATAGCTGATTTACTGGACGAAAAGACAAAATGAACGAATGACGCCTAACGCACCTTCATAGGTACCACCCAAGCATACACCTGGCCTTGCAATCTGATAGCTGGTTGGGGGCTGGCTGATAGAATTTGGTAGAACCTCTTAAACTTATATGCAGAACCTCTGATCATCGAACGTGTTTTTATTGATTGACTCCTGTACCATCAAAGCCGTAAAGGGCTGCCTCATGTTAGCTAGCGGGGAATGCTGGGCTGTGAAGCCTGCACAGTGGCCCTCAACCTCATAGGTTAAGTGTGTCGCTCGCATCAGTCGATCTGTACGGCCTAAGATAATTTGGATCGGTTTCGAGGATGTGTCTATCTGAACGCGGTGCAGCAGCTTGTTTCGGCCGCCGCGGCCTCGACGGACGCAGGCAATATGTACCAGCCCAAGATCGCCACAGGCATCAATCTGGACGCGCAGTCCGTCTTTGACGAGGTACGGAAAGAGGGGAACCGCGTCCACGATCGTTCTAGTGGCGAAGAAGCACTTACGAACCGAGACGAGAAGAACTGGATTGGGGAAGTCTTTCACCAAAGGGTAATCCGGATACAGGCTGACCTTCGGGCACACCTGCTGGCCCCTCTCAGAGTTGTCTCGGCGGCGGTTCTCGTCTTCAGAATTCTCCTCCTCAGGATTTGCCTCCTCAGGATTTTCCTCCTCAGGATTTTCCTCCTCGTTCCCGAACTCGAGTGTGTGCACGACGGGCGCATAGTGACTGTAGGTGGGATGGTGCACGATAAAGTGGGTCGGCTTCTCTCCGGCAGGTACCCAGGTCTCTTGTATGCTGAAGAACTCACCCGCTTGGCCGCCCACGGATACTTCCTCACACCTTCGCTGACCAAAAACTGAGGCGACCCCGTTCGGGTGAGTCGGGCACTCCAACTGGAACTGGGCAACTGTACCC